GCATCCAATAATAGTATAGGATGAATATCAAATATTTGATACCTTAGTTGTCTTAATTTCTCTACAAAATAGAGATTTTATAGGGTTCAATTCAATGATTTTGGTGGTATTTGAAGTTTTTATTAAATTCTTTGGTTAAAAAATAGAACTGATGCCCATGTACCATCAAAATAAGTTTAGTACATTAATATAAATTTTAAATGTGGTTAGATTTTTTAAACAAAACTAAAAGTTTTTATAAAAAAAGTATTAAAAAACTCGATCTTTTTGTAGGGGTTAACCCACATATATCAAGAAAAATTTGAAAATTTGGAATTTTTGTATTTATGCTTAGCTGCATCCAAAAATAGTATAGGATGAATATCAAAGAGATTTGATACCTTAGTTGTCTAAATTTCTCTACAAAATAGAGATTTTATAGGGTTTAATTCAATGATTTTGGTGGTATTTGAAGTTTTTATTAAATTCTTTGGTTAAAAATTAGAACTGATGCCCATGTACCATCAAAATAAGTTTAGTANTATTTATGCTTAGCTGCATCCAAAAATAGTATAGGATGAATATCAAAGAGATTTGATACCTTAGTTGTCTAAATTTCTCTACAAAATAGAGATTTTATAGGGTTTAATTCAATGATTTTGGTGGTATTTGAAGTTTTTATTAAATTCTTTGGTTAAAAATTAGAACTGATGCCCATGTACCATCAAAATAAGTTTAGTACATTAATATAAATTTTGAATGTGTTCAGATGTTTTAAACAAAACTAAAAATTCTTTATAAAAAAATTATCCAAAAACTCGATCTTTTTGTAGGGGTTAACCCACACATTTCAAGAAAAAATTGAAATTATTGAATTTTTGTTTTAATGCATCATGCACTGACATAGTATGAAGATTGAATATGTTTGACACCTTAGATGTTTATATTTCTCTAGATAATAAAGATTTTATAAGGGTTAGTACACTAATTAGGTTGTATATAAAATTAACCAAATTACTCGTTGGAAAACTAGAAATGATACCCATGTATCATGAAAATTTAAAATACATTAATATACATTACGAATGTGGTTAGGTAAAAAAAAATTTATGAGAATAAACTTTTGTATATATACCATTTATCTAAAAAAACTTGATCTTTGCGTAAGATAAATTAGAAAATATGGTATTTTGTTTTAATGCATAATTTCATCATGCAGTGACATTTGATAGAAATTAAAGAGGTCATGCAGTGACATTTTATAGGGTTTTAGACAAAACTAAAAAGTCTTGATAAAAAAATTTATCGAAAAACTCGATCTTTTTGTAGGGTTTAACCCAATTATTTCAAGATAAATTATAAAAAGTTGAATTTTTCTTTTAATGCATAGATGCATCATGCGATGACATAGTATGAAGATTAAAGATGTTTGACACCTTAGATGTTTCTATTTTTCTTGAAAATAGAGATTTTATAAGGGTTAGTATACTAATTAGGTTGTACATAAACTTTAAAAAAAATACATTAATTTTATGATATTTGCTTTCTTGAAAATTGAACTCTCAAAATTTTTTATTTGACTACATTAAATAAGGTAATATTATATTTAAAAATTATTTTATATAATATTTAGACAAATTCCCTAGGATAGACATAAAAAAAAAATTGTCACAAATAGAGACTTTGAAAATAAAAGTGACCAAAATAGACTTAAAAATTTTATAAAAATAAGTAAATATGCACTTATACCCTTTGGGTTAACTAATCCTAGATATTGTTTTTGTTTAGAGTTGAGGAGTGGGTTTTGGGGGTAGGATTTCAATTTTTTTTTTAAAAAGAACTGAAAATTTTCAAAATAAAAATGCTATTTTTGTCATTTTAGTTTTTAAGATCCATTTTGTGATAAAAACTTAAAAATATGTATTTGATAGATTTCCCCTAATATATATTGTATATTTTGGTTTGTGCTTTTATTTTCACCACAAAAAAAAAAAACTATTGTAATTAATTCGTTTAAATTGATTTTAAATACAATGGCAGAGTTTGTAATTAAAAAGAAATACAAAAAAAAATAGTTTATTATAAATATAATGGTTAAATGTGCAAATAAAAGGAAATCCTTAATAGGACATTCATGTTTCCAAATAGTTCTCAATTATCCTATTATGTTTATTTCTAAAGAGTACAAAAAGTTATTTCAGTTTTAATAATATAAATATCTCTTTGACTATGGTACGTCGGTATATTAGGAGAATCATAGTCAGACGATCCTTGTTTTACAAGAGAAGTGCAAAGTCAAGAAGAAAACAATACATGTAATATAGGAATAGGAATAAACATGCATATTAAGTTTAGTAGAGGATATAAATCCGAATCCAGATGGAAGGAAGGAGCTATAGTCCACTAAGTCACTGGGCAAAAATACATGGGATTTTTTTAGTTGGGTGTGACTTTTATTAACAGATAACAACAATACGTTTGAGTCTTGATTAGGGAAGACTAGACAACTGTGATGTTCTGTGAGTTTATGTGCTCTCATCATGTACCCAGAGAAAACAATCTACCTTTGGGGTGGGGACAGTAATGTTTTATTTCCGATAAAGCTCTTCAAACCATTTGTTCCATGCCTCCGTGTAATGCCCAAGAAGACCAGTTACATCTGTTTTTAACAAGTTTATCAAATGGAACTGCAGGAATATTAATTTTTTTTAACATGCCTCTCTAACTGTGGTTGTTACCTTGATTGCAATACTGAGGTTTGTGAGTAGAAGCAAGGGCCTCGAGATCTTGCAACCTTCCGCTATTATTGGTTCGAACAATGTTGTAGTTCTTCTTAGATGCAGCTGTTGGTGAGAATGGGCCAAACACATAGCTCTTTGCAGCTTGTTTTGTTTCCTCCTCTTCATGTTTCTTATATCCAATTTTTTTGTAGTTTGATGAACAATCTGTTTTGTTTCTCTTAGTACTCAAGTTCGTGATCTCGGTTCCAAATACCCGCTTCTTGGATTCATTGGTGGAATTAAACAATCTTGCCCCTTTTTCAGTTAAGCTTTTGGACCCCAACCACTTATAAGCTGGTTTTCTAGTCCCTGGTAGATTAGTCTGCAAAAAAAAAAAAAAGGAAAGATGAAACACTGAAATTAGTAATTTGAGGGTTAAATGAACATGGTTAATGAGCAAAAACTCTTACCTTCTCGATTAACTCCATGGAGGAAAGCACATTTGCAATATCGTAAAGCCGTCTAACTTTAGCTGTTGAAAATCATTATTTCAGATATAGGTGGTTGGTTCACGGTAGTATCAAAGATGTATGTGATAATCAGAAATAAGAAAATAAACGGAAAGAGAGCGAGCTTACTTCTCATATGCATTGAATCTTGAGAGTCTCTCAGCAAGACTTTGGCAGCAGTATCCAGTGTGATAAGATCATCCTTAAAGTGAAAGCAGCAGACATGGTTTGTGTATAAGACAATTTGAGAAAGAGTGTGAAAGAAGAAGCAAAAGAAAAGGGGGGTAGTGACTCACATGAGAGCAAAGAAACATCTTAACAAAATTTTGGGAGAGTAGCCAGAGAGATCTCTCCTTCTTGTGGTCTGAAAATCAGATAATAGGGTTAGCTCTTAACACAAATTTTTATCCACTGAAATTTTGTCAAATGCTAATAGTGTGATGAGCAATTACAAGACGGATGGTTTTATCTGCTAAGAAAAGGAAGATGTACCCATTTTAGAGAGTGAGGAGGAGTTGTGTTGATTATCAGGTGGTAAACTACAGGAATCTTCACTTTCATCATCATGTGAAACCTTGGGAAAAATAAAAGGTGTCTTGTTATGAATCAACTGCAAAGCAGAATCAACATTACATAAATCTGCAAAATGTTGTGATGCTTTACATACCTTGTCTGAGTTGCTGCAGAGGCTCGAGAGACCAAAACCCTCTCTCAAACCTTCTTCCTGTAAAAACAAAAGCAAAAAAAAAGAACAAAAGCAGAGATGGTGAGAGACAAAACAAAGAGCAATGAGTAGAGTTATTTGAAGAAGTATTAATAAATACTTTGAGTTGGTGGAGAGAGCGAGGAATGTGAAGAAAACCATTCCAAGAGTAAAGGCTCTTTCCTTTTCTAGACACTACCTGCAGAGTGACACAACATAGGGGGAATCAATCAGCTCGCTTAAAGTGAAATGAGCTAATTTATTTTGCCTAAGAAAGTGAGAGAGTCTACCCCAATGCTCTCTAGTATATTAACCACATCATATATACGCCGCCGTTCAACTCCTGCCACGAAAACCCACACAAATATTGTTCTTATGGAATCTTAATTAAAGGCTTTTAAGATTTAATTTACCCAGAGAATTTCTGAATCTCACTCACCTAATTTGGCAGCCGCATCATCGATGCCGAACAAATCAACATCGTCTCGATTATACAGTCTCATGAAACTGGATCGTACAGTAAGACAATTACAAAGTTACACAGAAACCCTAAATTTGGAAAAAAATTATCAAACGAGAGAGAGAGAGAGAGAGAGGGATATATATAAACAGTACTTGGAGACGAGAACGCCTAGAGATTTCTCCTTGCGGCTATATGAGGATTGGAGAGTGAGAGCATCCACGTCTTGAGGAGACACTATCCATGACATTTTCTCCATCCTAAGATCTATTTTCTTTCTCTCTCGAAGCTCTGTCGTGACTTTTTGTTTTTACCCAAAGCGGTTCAGGCGAGAGGGGAGGGAAAGGAGATTTCGAAATTTATGTAACCCAACGCTCTTCTTCGCTTTTTGCTCCCTCCCCATTTGTTTATCATTCTCACTACGGTCATTGACCAAAATACCCCTCCTTTTCTAACACACATCAATGCAAAAGACATTTTGTTAATGGTTGCAGACATTCAGCGCCAGCGCCTAAACCAGCACCAAAGAAGAGGTTTGTAAATCAAAATTATTTTCATCCTCTAACCTAATCTTATAAGAAACTGACAAACAAAATCAAATTACTTGTACCAAAAATTATGTAAATAGACTTGTTTTAGCAATCTGCGATGTATGATTAATAAAAATACATAACATGTTTTTCACAGAAACTTCAAAAGAGAAAACAAAGTGCCTAGAAAATGATGATGTATAGAGAGGGAAACCACATTTGATAATACAACAAAAACAATCAAACAAAAGAGCAACAATTAATATCTAAGGCTCAACGACAGTCACTTGCTCCCACTCTCCATCCACAGCCTCTTTCCACACCGTTACGTTATTATTCCCATCCGACACCGCCAGCAAGTTCCCCGTCAACGACCACGTCACCCTCCACACCGGCGTCTTGAAATCTTTCAATACCTTCCCTTCCCACTGCTCACCTTCTTTCCCTACCGTCCATATGATCACACTCCCATCCTCTGACCCACTTGCTATCGTCGACTTTGGCAGACCCAGGTTTGGTGCCCACGCCACGTCACGCACCCAGTCCTTGTGCTTGTGTAGCGCCGGGAAACAGTCCATTTTCCACGACCCGTTTGCGAATTTCCACACCTTCACAGTACTATCACACCCTCCGGACGCTAATTTGTAAACCGGTTCGTGCATACCGGAGCTAACGAGCGCACCTGGTTCTGTCGCTGGCGCCCATGACACTGAAGTGACTCCAACCGGGTGAGCTTGGTCTATCCTCGTTGTGTCCCAACCTCCATCGGGTCTAGCTGAGAAAACAGAAATGTTTCCATCGGATGCTCCACAAGCTAAGGAGAGTCCGAGTTCATGAGGAGCCCAAGCGATGGAGTTGACTGATACTTTGTGGTCTGTGAAGACATGAGACTGCGTCCACTCGTTTTGGTTTCCTTCTTTCCATACTATGATTTGTCCATCATAGGAGCACGAAGCGAGGAGCGAATCGAACTTTGGGTGGGCCCAGGCGACTTGCCAGACAGGACCTCTGTGACCGGTTAAAGTAGCTAGCTGCTGAGATCCGCCACTGTTGCTTACTCCGGTAATCCTGATGGTGCCGTCGGATGAAGCGGTTGCTAACCGCTTTCCATAGTAATCCATGACGACATCATGGACAATGTCGCTATGACCTGTCTCGATCTTCTGGGGAGGCATATTTTCCTGTTAAGAAAACAGAGTGCGGTCTTATATACATATACATGTTGGAGAATGGACTTTTTAAGTTTCAATTAGAAGCAACACTATATGCAATTCAAGTCAATAGAGAACACACGAGTATGAGTTAGTTGATCTATTCAAGAAATCAATACAAGCAAAGCTTAGATAATACAAACACACACAAAATAATTCAGCTATTAAGCATAACAATTCAACTAATTATAACAGCCGAGACATGTAAGTAAGCACACGGATGAACAATATTGAAAGAAAAAAAACATGTTTCATCATAAGTCATATAGACAGAACAGCAAAACATGCATCGATCCATATTTTCTGAGCTCAACTGAATGAATCGTTTAAAAAACATATAATCATCCTAGTAACAGAATCATTCAACATCGCAATGAATAACTAAATCATACATAACTTCGAAAGTAAATGCTAACAAGAACGGAAACATAATTCGATTATTGTAAAATCCATTCATGAGTCAAGCTCTCGGGATCTAATATAAATCTAGCCAATCCTAAGGAAAATCACCGGACGATCAAAACTGAATCGAGATTCCAGAAACTACAGAGATAGATCAGAGAGACAAACCTGGTAACGGAGTTTTCTTCTTGTCCAGAACTCAGATCTGTAAAGGAAGAGAGCGAGCGATAAAGAGATGAAACCAAACCGAAAGTAAATCGAACAAGAGAGCCAGCCAATTGTACCACCCGTACATTACTGAATTTACGGAATTAACCCCCTGAACCAACCAATTGGGAGCTTTCCCCAATTACACAAAACGACATCGTTTTCCCGTAGAGCTGCTGATCGAATCTTTTTTTTTGAACAACTTAATTCATTAGACTATGTACAATGGGGCATTGAATAAAAGATTCAACAATTGAATCATCGCAAAGAAATGTTTAAATATAAAATTTGATAATATGGATTAAACTATGTTACAAAGATTCAACTAGTTGAATAAAAAAATGTGAATATTTTTTTTATTTGTTAAACATTAAATTTATTGATTTTAGGTATATAGAAACATTTTTAATCTTTAATTTTAGTTACATATTTGTATTAAACTCAAATTATATTAAATCCAAATAATTAATATTAGAAAACACAATTATAATAAATGAGTGAAAAAGATAGATGATTGGTATTTCTTTTTGAAAAAATGCCAAATTGCGAGATTTTCATACTCAACAAATAAATTTTTGATACATTTCAGGTTAGTTTTCTATTTTTTGTTATACTATTTTCTGTTGTTTATACTATTTTCCTAAACTAGAAATGATTATAATTCATTGATTCAATTCAATAAAAAGTTTAGGATTAATCTATGTTCATAATCTTTGAATACCTTTAACAAATAATTCTATATTTAGAAGTAGAATAATTCTTAAAATCAATTAGAAAACTCATAGATCAGTTTTTTCTGAATTTGTAAAGATAAATTTATCAACGGATGATAGTTTTCAGACATGAATAAAGATCGTAAAAAATAGTACAAAATCACATTTGTGATTAATGTCTAAATAGTTTTCTTAATTGTTTCATAGGAAAAATTATTTGAAAATGTAGTAAATGAAACCGTGATACATAATTTTTTTGCTAAATAATGTGACAAATAGTTTATAAATTATGTTTAGAAATAGAAAGAAAGAGAAAGATAGATCACAGCATCAAATTTTCCTGCACCTCCTCCTTTCTTCTTTTTCACCTCATGGATCACAACTTTCCCAGCAGCCTTGTTGGTGATCACTCTTCTACCTTCATCAAACACATCAGAAGCAAAGAACCTACCCGATCTATGAAAAGTCTTCTCCACCCAGTTGAATAACTAGGTTAACCTGGTTGTGAAAACCAGATCAGCCTCATTAAAGAGAAACTGAAAGTATATTAAAAAAGAGAATCAATCAGTTTCCGATTTTACCCCTGCTTCCAGAATGACAATAGTACCACCCTACATTACGCAGATTTATAGAATTAACCCCAGAACCAACCAATTGGGAGCTTTTCCCGATTACACGAAAACGATACTGTTTTTCGAGATTCATATTGGTTGGTCATATTCCGGTTATCTCAAAGACATTAATTGCCTTCGTTTACGGATTCATAAACTATTTAGCAGAGTCACTATGTATTCATTGAAAAGTTGTGGTATAGTATGCAGAATGACAAGCCTGAATCCCCATTTGACTTTATTAGAATTATATATATATAGAGAAGAACCTAGTATATGCGTATGTCGACATTAATGCATTCTAGACATAATACAAGTCCAGATTATATGGTTAAAAACTAATAAAGTTGGTCTTACACTATGGTCTTTTGGTGTATTCTTATAATTAAACTTTATCTTATCAGACGGGTATTTGTAATTGTATATAAATATAGCTGAAAACGTCTGACGAACACAAATAAATGATAATACTAGTATAATAGCGTCCATATGAATGGTTAAAAATAAAAAGAGAACGAAAAGTAGAACGTTTTGGTCATATTTAAATACTTACTTGGAGACTATAATGCTGTGTAGAAAGGCACCATAATATTATCTTAGTGAAGCATTAAACTATAGATACTCCCTCTGTTTTATTATAAGTGTCACTCTACAGCTGTGCACACGGATTAAGGAAACAATTAATTTTACATATTTCTTATATAAAAACACAGTTACCTATACACCTAACCATATTTTAACCAATAGAAAAATTAGTTACATAATACAATTAATAAATTTTCCATTGAAAACCGAAAACGACACTTATTTTGTAACGCAAAAAATTCTCTACAACGACATTTAATATGAAACGGAGGGAGTATTATACATGCCAGTGATATATAATTAATAGCACCGACCGCTACAACCTCGTAATTGTTATATCACAATAATATATAAAAATACAAGTTTGAGAGTGTTTATGCAGGTGTAGTCACCTTATACCTTGTGAAAGAAACATGTGCTCCTTAAGTGCAAGTTTACGTAGCATGTAGATAAGGATTATGATTTATGAATGCGCGCAAAAGATATATATGTTATTATTTTAAAACAGCAACTTCTTGAGGTTTAGTTGTTTTTATTATTATTTGTTTGCAACTGGTAATTTTAAGATCGCTTTCTGTAGTTGAGAATATTTGTTTTGTTATCTTACCAATTTCACTTATGAAGTAAAAGATCCAATACATGAAATGATGTTTTCTCGTGAAGATACAGTGTTATATGTTCCCCCTTCTCTTGTGTAGTTCAAAATGATATCCATCTCACTAAACCACCATAGGTGGGGCCGGTATGCTAGCCCACACCATATTGTGCAAATTCATACTTTGGTAATCAGTGGCTTTTACATTATTTAAATTTCGAGTAGTTTTATCTATAGATAGTATGATTTACAACTTTCAGATTCATTTGAAACTATTCTTCTCGCAAGACTCACAACGTTGCTTTCAGTTTCTTGCGTTAAACATGATATAGTTCGAAAGTTTATGTATAGTTAGATCTCAGATGATCTATTTATACTGATTAAATAAACGTTTAAGTTTCTACGAACTTATTAAAATATACATGTGCAGTGTCTAAAACAATTCTCTTAAAAAATCACAATTTAAATATATTTGTCCTAATCTGCATCATAGATTCATTATGAGTTTCTGGTTGTTAGCAATCATGTATGTAGTCAACAAACTAGTGATATATGTTTTATCATCAACAGTGTTCACTTTGTTGCAATTATTTCAAACATGAATGTACGTCATTTCAATAGGCAATGGCTTTTTCAAGTCACGTGCTCAACGAACGTAAGCACGTGTTTCTCTCAGGTTCTCAACATTGGAGCCTATGTAGTTACCATTATAATTTTGATATAATCTATAAAATCCCTTTATTTAATTAACACGACATTCAATCTATACGAACATATGGTAGTATACTATGGTGATGTTTAGTATATATATATATTTTTTTTTTCTTTTTTTCTTTTTTGTGAAAGATGATGTTTAGTATATTACCAGAGATAAGTTCATTCTATGATGATCTACATAAACCACTTAATACATAAACAAACCAAGTTTTGTTCTAGCTTTATTTGTAAGAAGCTAATAAATGTAATCATGAAAAATAACTTAGATAGTCTCATTAAGAATAACTATCCAAATCCAAAATCTAAAAAATATATTTAAAATAAATATAAATTATATTTTTTTGTTATCCAAAAATATATTTAATTAAATGTTAAAAACGGAAAAATTATAACTAAATATTATACAAACAAGTTTTTAATTTTATATAATTGAATAGAAAATATTAAGTAATTATAAAGATTTATTTCTTAATAATAAATATAGTGTAAAAATAAAATTTAAAAGTATTTATAATAATATAGAATGTTCAAATGAAAATACAAAATAGTAATTTATCATTATAATTATTTAATTAATATATATATAAATATTAATAAGTAATTATAAAATGTTTATGCCTGTCTGCTAAAAGAAAATAACTACTAATCAATGATTTGCCAAACAAACAAAAAAACAAAGAAGAATATCCTGAAGACTGCAGTCAGCCTCTCAACTAAAAACATCCAGAGGAGATTAATATCGGGAAGTGACATAGATAAATCCACTTCAGACAAAGACATGGTCCACGTGGCAATATACACATCAGAGAAGAGAGAAGTTTGATGCACGGAAGCTGTTCTTTAACAATTTGGTGCGAGTCGCCATATTGTGGCACTCACGAGTCACGACACCACCTTTCTCCAAAGGCAAACCCTAAAGTTGATTTTATCATTCTTTTTTCGCAAGAAAAGCTTTTGCTTTTTAAACATTATCGCACTATAGAAATTTCTCATCGAAAATAATTCTTATCACAAATCAAAAATCTGTAAAAAGCATCTTCGTACTTAACTAGATTTTTTTATCTTATATATGTAGTGTAAAGTCTAAAAAAAAAAAAAAAAAATCCGGAAAATATGACTCTAAACAATGCGTCTGTTTGCATCAATTGAGAATCATGGCTCACTGCAAGTAGACCTCTGTATCATCGACCGTTGAAACAAGTCTCGATCGGTGTAATGCGTTTTCTCAAACCATTTGTTATCTAAGAGCAACTCCAATGGTAAGAACCCATTAGGAGCACTTATGACTAATTTAATAATTAATTGTGTGATTTGAAAAATTTAGAACCTTTGTTACTTGAATTAATTTTTTCATGGTCCATTGGGAGAACCTTTTAGAGGTTCTTAATATATGTTACATGAACATAACATCATCATATCGTCACACAACTAGTCAAACTTTTTGCATGAAACTGGCTGTCTTAGATTCAGGTAGATTCATTATCTCATTCGTGACAACCTGAGCTGCAGCTTCAGTACCAGTCAGCTCCCTTGAAGGTACGAACAAGAACTGTTGGTATAACTGACATCCAGGACAGGAAAACATATAGCAAGTCACAGAGTTCCGGGGAGGATTAATGCAGTGATGAAAACGAGGGTAACAAGAGCAACCAAAGTGATGATCCATCTCGGGCCCTTAAAAGGAGGTCTTTTGGCGAGAGCAATGTCAATACACAACTTAATTCCACAAACTCAAAATTCAATTTTAAAAAAAAAAACAGGATTAAAAAAAGTTCATTCAAAGCCAATAGAGAGACTCAAAAGATGCAGTCTTTTTAATCGGAAATGAAAATTCGGTTTTAGAAGCGTAGCAAAGATCATCACTTTCATCGTTAAAACTAAGATAGAGACTCTATAAACACGATATAATCATATTTGCAGCTCTCTGAACCATCAAATGATTTATGTAAAGAGGCTGAAAGAGGATTCAGATTGTAATACAGCCGTAACAAAAGATCAAACCATATGAGGAACGAAAGTCCTTCTCCTTTTTTCAATATAAGCGTGCGCAGAAGACGTCACTGCGGAGGAAGACGTGAGCTCGGCGAGTGAGTCTTTCGACTCGAGCATCTCATCCAACAAACGGTTGATCTCGTGTTTCCTGTCTCCTCCTGTGGTGAAGAGATTAATGAAACAAAAAAAAAAACATCAACGAACACAAACCTCCACGGTGATGATTTGGAGAGATTTTTGAAAACCATTGACAACATTGACAAAGAAATTTTCAGACCAAAAAAAACAACACATTGACGAAGAGGAAGAAAGAGAAGGAGAGAGACATTCATTGTGGTCGCATAGGAAGCTGCCACGTATGGGTCCTTACCATTCCTGAAAATCCCAAAATAGAGAGCGGTCCTCTGCTTTCTTTTTCTTTTTCATTTATTTTTTTGCCTTTATTCGTTTGGGACCTCCTCTTAGAACTCCCGATGGAGTTGGTCTAATCCCTCTACCTCTCATCTAGCTCTGGAAAACCAGTGTACTGTATTATACACTGCATGCGATTGGCAGATGACCAATCACCATCAACGTTACATCTCTGCAAATGTTTGTAGATTAAATTTAATCTCAAATTAAGACGAAGACATAATTCCCACAAAGTCAGTCAATGAAGCTAAAAAGTTGTATACAATGTACTAAAGTAATATACAACACTTATAATCATTGTTTTTCAGCGATCACTTTTAATTTATTACACCTTTTGACGTAATTTAAAACATGTAAGACATCGTAAGTGATACTAACGTCATACTACAATCAACTTCACAATTATACAAAGTACTATTTATTTTTACTTAAAACATTCTCCTTGAATTAAGAAGCCACGAGTGTATAGATGCATCCGCTGTAATATATGACACTTGGCGTATGCAGAGAACACGTGTTTTGTTCACGTATTCGCTATTTACTGTACGTGCCACACGAGACCTACCTAACGATCCACTTATTGTTTGTATATTCCTAGTGATATACCTGAGTTAGAAAAGTCAAATATGTTCGTGGGCTTATCTAAAATAAATTAATTCACATTATTAGATTTTTAATATTTTGTGTAACCCAAAATAAATTAGTTCAGACTCTAGATCACTAAGCAAATACTAACGAAGATGAAAATTTACAGCAAACTTTCCACTACCGATGTTTCTGATATAACTCGAACAATACGTGAAAGGAAAATTATAGTATAAATTAGAAACACGTATATAAATTATTAACTTGGGAAAAAAGAAACATTAGCACACAAAAAGGTGCATAAATATAAAAGAAAACTGCGATTTACTGGAAAATGAAATGTACTGAAACAAGTTTTGATAGAAAAGAATACTAAAAGACAGTAAAATATACTAAAAAGAACCCGATACGCCTAATGAAAATGAACGGATGATAACTTTGTTGTTTCTTTTTCTACTCAGTACGTATAAGGATGAAATATATAGCAAAGTAGATGGTAGATGGCCCATTTATAGTTGATTACATACCGCATGGTGTTGCATTATTTCGATGTTCATGTATATCATCCACATGGACAGAAAAAAGGAATCATCCACACTTTTTTGGTATTTACGTGATCCACTCTCTATATAACTAAAAGGGTGTCGTCGACAAAAAAGAGAAAAAAAGAACAAAGGGATAAGACCTCGTAGACTTACTAGTGTTTAGTTATAAATAAATCAAATCAGCAAAATTAATCTATCACAATTATTTGAAAGTTTTTTTTTAAATCGTGGTATTATCGAGGTCCTTGGCTTAAATGAAGATTATCGCCAAAAAATTCATAATAGATTAGATGTTTATTTAACGAACTCCTTTATGTATATTTTTTTTTGAGAAAACCCCTCTATGTTTTTTCTACGTCACAGACTCACAGACACACACACATGTATATATATATATATATAAGGCTGCTAAATTTCAGTTTTCTTAACAGAATAAAACTTTCATTTTTGTTATGAATCAACGTTTGCTCAAAAAAAGAAAGAATATATGCATCAACTAGAGTACATGTTAAGTTTCCTAATCTACTGCAATCAAGTTGCCAGTTTCACGTATCCATTCTATTAAATATTCAGTCAGTTTATTTTGCTCGACAATGTCGACATCTTAGACTCAAATTCTACAAAAATAACTCCCATTTTTTTAGTAATTCTTACAGTATTTATCATTCTATGCAATTATGTACATTTGTGAGCACACACTTTCACCATGTACGTATATATACATACCTGTAGGCGTGAAGGCAAATATATGAAGTTTCCGGATATGGAAATTAATCTTTTTCATTAGCGGAAGTTTTCAAAAACCCAAAAGACTGATTTTAAAACTTATAAATAGGGAATTAAATTTCACTAATCATCAACCTTTTCTCCACTCTTCTACATACAAATAATCAACCTCTCTCTCTCTCTCTCTCTTTCTCCCTACAGAACTAAACACATAAAGACGGCATCTAATGGACTTAGAACAGAAGACAAGAGGACTTGGCAAGTCATGTGCCCTTCTCATAGGTTAATAACTCACCTCTCTTCAATCTTTGTTTCTTTCAAAGATTCAAAACTTCAGCGAAACTAAAGATAGATATTTTGTTGTTATATGATGTTTTGTGTGTATAGTGATTGCGGGAATGGAGAGATATGCGTTCAAAGGAGTTGCATCAAACTTAGTGACATACCTAACAGATGTAGTGAAGATGAGTAACTCAAGAGCAGCCAAGACAGTTAACACTTGGGCTGGTTTCACCTCTATGTTGCCTCTCTTCTCTGCTCCTTTGGCTGATGCGTACTGGGATAGATTCTTTACTATCCTTGCTTCTTCGTCTGTCTACTTTGTGGTACGAATCTTTTACATTAAACTATATCTATGAACATATTTGTGTCGGTATATGTTGAAATATTCATGAAGTATACAAATTGTGGAAACTCCTTTTCTTTTTGATATTAGTTCATCATTATTGAAACTGGTTTGTTGATAAACTGATATATGTTGATAATATTAGGTTTCATATTCCTGTATGCATATGCTTAATCAGTCATGCAGTGACCAAGTGATGAAGTGCACTAAGTATTAGGCGGTCTAACTTAAATTAGAAGTGCTAAGTAGTGTTTGAAAAAATGGTTTAGACTAATCTTAATTAGTAATGGGTCACCATCAGAATATAATTTTCTTTAGCCCCTAAAGGTGTTTATATGTATATGTTTCCCATTTATAATTTGCTTGATAATGGAATTTCGATTATAAATGTTGATAGTGCTCATAATGGGTCTTATCGGATCTTATTGGCAAAAAGCTAGCTTAGTGGGAAATTCAATCTTTTTCTCCTTTTTGATACAAATTTTTGAATATTTATCTGATTATTATTGTAAAGGGGCTAGTGGGATTGACATGGACGGCATTTGCTGGGTCACGTTCAGCTACGAAGACAATCTCTACCTATTTTCTCTACTCATCACTATGCCTTGTCTCAATCGGGTTAGGCGTCTTAAACCCTTCTCTTCAAGCCTTTGGTGCGGACCAGCTTGACCACGACCTCGATAAGGAATTTGAGCTTCTCTCTGGTGATCAAAAAGACGCTAAAGCTACCCGAAAGACTCAGTTTTTCCAATGGTGGTACTTTGGTGTCTGCGCTGGAAGCCTTATGGGTGTCACTGTCATGGCTTATATCCAAGACACTTTTGGTTGGGTCCTCGGTTTTGCCATACCCGGAATAGCCATGTTCCTGTTGATCTTGTTGTTCTTGTCGGGTTGCGGAATCTATGTTTATGGTACTGGTGCTAGTGCCGGTTTAAAGACGAAAACAACCCCTACACCTTTTGAGAAGATCCTTCAGCTCATCAAAGGGAGAGTAGTGAAGAAAAAGAAGAAGCAGAGAAGCAAATATACACTTGCAGATGAGGAAGATTTGGATGCTATGGAGCTTGAGTGAGTTTTTTTTCACTACACAAAAAGCTTTTTCAAGTTAATGACCAATCAATCCCTTAATCCCTGTTTCTTTTATGTGTAGGCTACAAGAGAGGCCTCTCTGTAAATGCGATGATGACGCTGAGGCTAAAGACATTGAAACAGCTTCAACAACCCCACAGAAAATGGATGATGAAAGTTCGAAAACTGGTTTCTCTGGAATTGAAACTATCAAGTTAGTGCTTCGCCTTTTACCCATATGGACGATGCTTCTCATGTTTGCAGTCATCTTCCAGCTACCAGCGACCTTTTTCACTAAACAAGGCATGACCATGAAGCGAAACATCGGTTCCAGCTTCAAAATCCCCCCTGCGACCCTGCAAAGCACCATCACGCTATCCATAATCCTTCTTATGCCGCTGTACGAGAAGATCTTGATCCCTGTCACCAAAAGAATCAAGAACAACGGTCAAGGCATCTCTGTGATGGAAAGAATGGGAGTTGGAATGTTCCTATCCATCATCGCCATTGTTATTGCAGCACTAGTCGAAAGGAAAAGACTAGACATAAGCCAAAAGGTGAAGAGTTTACCTGACTATGATCCAGAAACCGTCCCGTTCAGCATCTTCTGGCTGCTACCTCAGTACATACTCCTGGGAATCTCGGATATATTCACAGTGGTTGGGATGCAAGAATTTTTCTACAGCGAGGTTCCGGTTAAAATGAGAACAATGGGATTTGCTCTCTACACAAGTGTCTTTGGTGTTGGAAGCTTTGTTAGCGCAGGGCTGATCTCAGTCGTGGAGGCTTACTCAACCTCAACAGGTGAAAGGAAAAACTGGTTTGCAGATGATATGTCGGAAGCTAGGCTAGACAAATACTACTGGCTGCTTGCTCTTACAAGTACTATAAGCTTTGTGGTCTACATAGTTCTATGCAAGTATTTCAAGAGTAGTAGTGGTGATCAAGACAGTGAAGAAAAAGCCCCTAAATAAGACAGGAAACAGTTTCGATTTCTTTTACTTAAAAAAAAAACTAACCGTTTTCTACAAGATTACACTGAATGATCTAACTGTAATAGCCTTAAGAAGTAACTAGCAAGAAAAACGCTTAAAAATTCAAACTTTATTATTTCGTGTGTGTTTGTTACATATCAATCCCAACGACCAACAACATTTCTATAAGAACAACAGAAACGAAAAAGAAAAAAAAAGTTTGAACCTTTAAGCGTGTGAGCTGATTCCATTAACACCAGTTTCCTTAGCTACGTTACTATCGTCTTCTTCATCAGAATCGAGAGTGAAGTTACTTAAATTTCCCATCTCAGCTCCAAGTGGTCGATACTTGGAGTGATCCTCCTCAGGGAAAAAACCTTTCTTATTCGCAACTATAGAGAACAAAGCAGTAGCCAAAACCACCATGAGAGCCAAATGACAGTTAAACTGAAGCGTTGCTATAGCTTTAGCCCTGTGATAATCACCGTGTCCTTTGCACTTGATGGTGAAATTGCCTCTGCTCTTCTCGTGAAACGAACAGTTATTAGTGATCAAACCTGTGAAAAACGATATCCCCATTTGAAGAAACCACGTCCCTTGCAGAATCAGACCGATGCCGCGTCCAAGCTTGGCGAATCGATGCGTGGTGGTTGAGTCGGATCTAAGCTCGAAGAGAGTGGAGAAGACGCAGATGGCGATGGGAACGAGCATGAGGTCGTAGTAGCGATTCTCGATTCCGGATGTGTCTTTCTTCTGGAGGTAGAAGATGAGAAACTCCTCTATGAAGCCGAAGAGAAGCAACAGGCTTGTGATCGAAGACGGAAGAGAAGCAAAGACTGAGTTTTTGGAGTTGACCAGAAGAAGGGCGTACACTAGGAATAGAACTGCGACTGCTAGGATCTGTAACTGGAGCATTGATCCGACCCGATCGTTGGATCCGATTGAGCTGAAGAAGGAGTAAATCGAGTTGGCGATAAACAGAGACGAAAGCAGAGCTACGGGGATGGAAGACGATCCAACAGACTTCATAGGGGGAGACGGAGACGGAGACGTCATAGGAGAAGATGGATCAGTGCCAGTAGATTGATTCGGATCATGGTTTGAAGAGTCGAGTGACTCCCACGCGCCGATTACTGCAAATCCTCCGCCGGCGACGGCGTAACTCAATATACCCATTAATTCAAATCTCCGATCTCTTTCGAAGAAATTTGGAAGTTAGACGCTTAACAGAAAAAAAAAACACTCGAACTGGAATCGGGTACACCGGAATGATCCGACCCGATTAACCAAAATGTGTGGCCAGCTCACTGGGTCTTTCATTATGGGAACGTGATTGTATAATAGGCCCACTCATAATGAATGAGATATTGGGCCAGTAAGTATAATATTAAAAAACACGTGACAATCACGTGCCCTGTGGATATGCTTCCTCTTCATTTCTGCTCTGGGTGCGTGCTAGCTTCGTGTGTGGAGGGAGAAATGTTGCTTCCTGTGTCTCACCACCACAAGCAACCACTGTTACTACCTCCCAAACCCTCCTCACCCGATCGAATTTTCCCGCCATTTCTGATTCCCAGAACCCTCATTTCACTTCGCAGAGCGAACTCCGTCGTCGTCTGTAGTAGTAGCTCTTCCTCCAACCGAAAGACTCTTCCCCAATCAGCCATCCAGAGAATCGCCGATAAGCTCCGCAGCCTCGGGTTCGCGGAAGAAGAAGAAGAAGAGAATAATCATAAAGAAGAGCAAAATTCCCCAGGAGAGATATTCGTTCCTTTGCCGAACCAGCTTCCGATACACCGGGTCGGGCACACGATTGACACGAGCTGGAGCACGCCCAGCTACCCTGTTCCGAAGCCCGGTTCGGGTACTGCTATTTCCAGGTACCATGAGTTGAAGAGAGTGTGGAAGAAGGAAAAACATATCGAGAGGAAGAACGAGGAGAAAGTCCCGTCTTTGGCGGAGCTGACATTGCCGCCGGCGGAGCTGAGGCGGTTGAGGTCGGATGGGATAAAGTTGACGAAGAAGCTGAAGATTGGGAAAGCAGGGATTACGGAAGGGATAGTGAATGGGATACACGAGAGATGGAGGACAACGGAGGTTGTCAAGATCTTCTGCGAAGATATCTCCGGAATGAACATGAAACGCACCCATGACGTTTTGGAGGTTTGTCAAAAACATTTACTTACTCTACAAATAACATTATGATTGTTAAAGACTGATAGTGTTCATATTTCTTTGTCGCAGACGAAAACTGGAGGATTGGTCATTTGGCGATCTGGAAGCAAGATTTTGTTGTATAGAGGAGTCAATTATCACTACCCTTATTTCGTTTCTGATGGGAATTTGCCACTTGCTTCTTCTCTGGAAACTCCTGCTTCATCTATGGATAAGGGAGTGGTTGTTAGTAGAGAGAAACAGACTACTGTAGAATCGTCTGCCACTAGTAGTGTTACTAATAAAATGGTTAAGCCATTGTTAGTACAAGGCGTTGGTTCTCCGGATAAGGTGCGGTTTCAACTCCCTGGGGAAGTACAATTAGTAGAAGAAGCTGACCGCTTGCTGGAAGGATTGGGTCCAAGATTCACTGATTGGTGGGCGTATGATCCTCTTCCAGTAGATGGTGATCTTCTTCCGGCCATAGTCCCTGACTACAGGAGACCATTTCGTCTTCTCCCGTATGGTGTGAGTTCAAAATTAACTGATGATGAAATGACCATTTTAAGGAGACTTGGTAGACCACTCCCTTGTCATTTTGCTTTAGGTAAACCTCTTACCTCAATTCTTATTTAGACACTGAAGATTGTTGACTTATTCTGGCTTGCCTTTTTCGAGACTTTCAGGTAGAAATAAAAATTTGCAGGGGTTAGCTGTTGCAGTTGTCAAGCTCTGGGAGAAATGTGAGGTTGCCAAGATAGCAGTGAAGAGGGGAGTGCAGAACACTAACAGCGAGCTGATGGCCGAAGAGTTAAAGGTTGCTGGTTTACTTTGAATGATTATATTATCGACTCCCGTATGGCCGAAGATATCTACTGATGAGAGGGAATATATATATATATATATGTCTGTTGCAGTGGTTGACGGGAGGGACTCTGATCGCTCGGGATAAGGATTTCATTGTCTTGTACAGAGGAAAGGATTTCCTACCATCTGCAGTTTCTTCTGCAATAGAAGAGAGGAGGAGGCAAACAATGATCATGGAGAAATCAAGTGTGCATGGTAATAAGCTTACTGAAAGCGAAGAGGAAATAAATTCTCAGGCTGTAACAGACGACTCTGAACTAGAAGCTGTATATAAAAAAGATCATCAAATAAAACCAAGACAGCGCAAATCTCCTGAGGAAATTCTTGAAAGAACTAGTATAAAGTTGTCCATGGTATGCTCTAACAGCTGTTCTGTATTAAATCCATTGTGGTTTGCTGCAATTTTTTTAGATGTGTCAATCATTAGTTTTCTCTTTAGGCGTTAGAAAAGAAAGCAAATGCAGAAAAAATTCTAGCGGATCTGGAGGGTAGAGAGAGCCCGCAACAGTCTGATATCGATAAGGAGGGTATTACTGAAGACGAAAAATACATGCTACGGAAAATTGGCTTGAAAATGAAGCCTTTCCTTTTACTAGGTAGGTCATTGTTTCCTCCTTCGCCACTTGAAAGCAGCTTGTTCTTAAATTTCATGTAAATATGTGTGGTAAATGAATAACTTTCATGGACTCCGAGTCTTTGTTATATGTTGAACTATCTCGTTCTGACATATCTTGTTGTGCTCTCAAGGTAGACGAGGCGTGTTTGATGGAACAATAGAGAACATGCATCTTCACTGGAAGTATAGGGAACTTGTGAAGATTATTTGTCATGAACGGAGCATTGAAGCTGCACACGAAGTAGCAGAAATCTTGGAAGCTGAAAGTGGTGGCATACTAGTTGCTGTGGAGATGGTAAGTAAGGGCTATGCAATTATTGTGTATCGTGGCAAGAATTATGAGAGGCCTTCATGTCTACGACCTCAAACACTTCTTAGTAAGAGAGAGGCACTGAAGCGATCTGTGGAGGCACAACGTCGAAAGGTAAGAAAAAAATATCACAAGAAATCTTTAACCTGACGAAATTGTTCATGAAAGAGCTCTAAGAAACTTCAAATGGATTTTGTGAATCCCTGACGGGAACTTCTAATTACTTTTCTGCTCGCAGTCATTAAAGCTGCATGTGCTGAAACTTTCCAACAACATTGATGAATTGAACCGTCAGTTGGTAAGTCATATGTGTTTTGTTCAGCTTGATTTGCTTAAACAATCCTCGAAGATGGTGGTAACATTTGAAATGCTGGTCGAGTGCAGGCTGAGGACAGTGCGACCAACGAAACGTGTTCAGATGGTGAATCAAGTAACAGAGTGGTAAATTATTTACAGTTCGGTAGACTCACGTCAGCGCTTGATGCTACATTTATGCTTCTGTGATATTCTCATTTCTCCATATCGTTGTAGGTCCAAGAAGAAACAGAAAATCAGAATGTTGAACATGAGAAATCAAGAGGAGAAACTGAACTCGGCTATTTTTCTGACTCAACAGTTCCTTCCTCTGGTGAAGAGAGCTGGGAGGTAAGATTCTCAGCTCCTACTCGAAGTTTCTTGCATATGGCTCCAGTGCATATATTTTTATACGTCTGGTAACTTGGCATCTAGCTTCAAATAAATCTGAATATATATATATATATATATATAATCTCTGATTACCAAAATCTGAGACAGTGTTGGTGTAATCTGAGACAGTGTTGGTGTATATTTTCAAAGGATGACAGCGAAAATGAAGTTAACCAATCTATTACGAGCAATCATGCATATCAAGAAGATGAATCTGGGCCTGGCTCTTCTCGGAGAGATGAGGGTAACGCTCTCGATTCAACTGCAAATATCTCTGCACTTGAAGAAACCGGTTTTGCCAAGGCTTCGTCATTTCATGATAGATCCATGGTAATGTCTCGAACTCTTTTATCTTTCCTCTTTGACACATGTGTAGCGATATATCTAAATAATTTTACCCCCTTTTTTTAAATGGATTTTAGCCGCGCAACAGCTTCCTGAATGCTGAGCGAAAGGTACCAACTGGACAAGAACTGGGATCATCAGCTAGAAGTGGCTCAGGAATCTCAGCTCTGACAGAGAGCAAAAGAGAAAATCATGGGTTGGTCACAGATCTTTCCAATAGAGAAAGACTCATCCTGAGAAAACAAGCTCTCAAGATGAAGAAGCGCCCACCCTTTGCAGTAGGTGAGTTTCACTATCTTCAGTAAGAAACCACCTGATTCGTATCTTGAATCCAATACTTATTAGTCATTCTTCTTTTTGGTAAATTGTAGGTAGAGTTACTTACACGTGTAACCTTACAGTTGCGATTAATCAGAATGACACTTCAAGTATTCCAATATTGTAGGAAGAAGCAACGTTGTAACCGGTTTAGCTAAAACACTGAAGACGCATTTTCAGAGGAACCCTCTAGCAATTGTAAATGTCAAAGGGAGAGCTAAGGGAACATCTGTGCAAGAAGTCATCGCAAAGCTCAAGGTCTGATTCATATATATACACACACTGAATCTTCTTGATCCGTTTTAACAAGTGGTGTTGAATGAATTTGTGCAGGAAGAAACAGGAGCTCTTCTGGTGTCGCAGGAGCCAAGTAAAGTCATACTTTACAGAGGTTGGGGAGCAGAAGAAGAAATCAAAAGCTTCTATCCAAATAGCAATGTCAAAAACTCCATTAATCTAACATCTTCTTCACAAAGAAAGCTTGTTAATGATCATCCACCAGTATCTCCTGCCCTCATTGAAGCCATAAGACTTGAGTGTGGATTGGAGTAATGTTTTTATTCTATGATTTATATAGTTCACTCTTTTAACTTTTAGAATGTTGATTATTTTCTTAGCAAAATCATTTCGGATGATAATAATCAGTCAGAGATATATACACAAGTCACTCATCATTCATCCATCACAAAGGAGAAACATGTCTGAATCAATTTATCACTTTTTTCTCTTTTATCAGATTTCTATTCCCGGACGAGTATCAAAATACTCCCAAAAAAAAAAAACTGAATGAAGACAAATCTATAATTTTCTTCTAAAACTGAAAGTTGATCGAAACAAAACTTCATGTTCATAGAGCAAATGATAAACTAATCTCCTGATCGAACAGCACTAACTAAGATTTGCTTTGCTACATCCATCAGAGAGTTTTGAGAGAAGGGGAGGAAGAGAGCGGCTTAACTCGGATGGTTCTGGTGTAGAGGTTCGTGAGCGCAAAGAGTAAAAGCACAAAGACCACTTGAGCACTCACTATCCCGAAATGGCTTATACTATTCCCTATTTCCATCCAGCTTCCTGTGTTTTTCACCTGCAATTTATTTTTTGAATTGAAATGTCAGGTGGCGAAGCTTATGACATAGATCACAAATCATGACAAGTGTGTTTACTTACCAGGAAGAAGAAATGTATCGTCATTATGTCTGAAAATAAGATCACAAGGAAGTAACATCCCAGTCTTGGCACTCTCACTAATTTCGTTATTGCACTGAACGCACATCTGCCAGTTTACAAAGTAGTCAAAAGGCAAACAAGAAAGTTAGTAGAGACGAGATAAATTGATAAAAGAGTGTATAGTTCCTTTTTATAGCATAGTAATTGTTAATGAGTTTGGTTCAGCATTTATACTCACATGACAAGCATGAACGGTATGAAGAGCTTGAATATAAGAAGTGCTGCCATCAGAAAGGGCTGTCCAGAAAAGCAATTATTCACATTAGACTATACTATAGCATCAAAATTTGAAAGAAAGTAAAACAGGCAACAATGAGTTTCTTCTATTTTTCCATATATTCTAGATGTTGCAGATACTCACGCTGAAGATTGTGATGAACCGATATACGGATGATATCTCAAAACTTGCTATACTCGCAAAATTCCCAGTTCCAAAGAAAGCCACATTGAACAAAACCATCTACAAACACAATCCAAAATACCAAAAACTTTATATTACCTGCTATGCTATCCAAATGTAACAGAAGGGCCAAGGGCAAGAGAGAAGATGACTTACAAAAATCAAAGGAATCCGCACATCTGATAGCTGCAAGTATCTCTCCTCACTTCCAATAGTTACATGTTCCTCTGTGTTTTGTTCTGATAGAGATGAATCTTTTACTTTGCTAGAATAATGAGAAGCGTTCTCAAATAATATCCATGCCATAAGCACAACGGCAAGAGCACTGTAAAAGACAGCTTCATATCTGCAAACAAATAGCGGAGACATGAGAACAGAACAATGATCCATATAATCAGTGAACTCTCACTTATAGCCAAAGTCTTGTCAAGAGACAAACCCAATAGACAGAAGAAGAAACGGAGGCGCAAAACCAAGAAATATTGAACTTAAACGTGACAGGATGCCATTTCCTGAAAACAACGGAAGAACCATCGAAGAACCTGCAAAAGACAGAGAACGGTCAAAAACCAACGATACTTATACACATTATGCAAGTAGAACATAGGTCTGAGGATATTACCGGCAACTAACCAGTTTATGAACTGGTGTGACGAATGTAGTTCTTGATTCTGTGTTCGGTGCTTTGTTGACAGAAACACCATCACCGACGAAGCTCCAACCAAAATAATCTGTTTACCATTCGCACCATGAAATGTGATCCTCAGACGTATAACCAAAATCTGAAGTTTCAAAAGTAGAAAAAGTCTATATACCTGTATGAAATATAGTTTGGACCACATCGGCTTCCTGCTTTCATGAAAAGTGATACTTTCCCAAAATTTATTCCCTTCGGCATGTGTGTCTAGCCACTTTGCAGCAAGGCTTATTACTATGATGATAGCTCCACTCATAACCCTGCAACCAAGAGATAGTACCAACATGAAACAGTGACCATTTCACAGCTAAAAGTCGGCACTGGAGAGAAAAGATTCTTATATTGTGTTCAATACAATTTATATTCTTTTAACTCCACTGGATAATCATATTCAAAGTCAAAGGGAGTGAACTGTTGTTCTAGATGAGTTTCACCTAAGTTTCCAGATCTTCTAAGTAATAAATTCTGTTTCCGTGTCATGTATACCAAAAAGGGACTTACACTAGGTTATTATTATCAGGAATTTCCGCTGGCATCAGAGTGAAGACAGACAGGAACCAACAAGAAATACACACAAAAACTGGTATCCCAGATCTCCAAGGAATTGAAATGTGCAGCAAAATCGAAGACACAAAACCTGCTATCAAGAAAAACCAAGTGTAAAGCTTTCTCTCAGTGAAGCTATGGACCTGCGGGAGGTTGAAAGAACAAATGATCAGGACAATATATGTCTCCACATCAGAAAAAAACGTACTGGACTATCCAATTACACATACCAATAATTCCACAATGACAACCGACACAGCTGCGGCAAATAGAAGTTTGATGAAGTAGCCAGCCTTCCTTTCCCTCAAATATATCCACAGTCCTCTTATTAATCGATATTCACTTAAAATCTGTGTCCACAGAAATACTGTCATTCCAATATATGCATGGTACAGAGGGGGAGAGTGCTCGATCAAATTTAGCAAAGTGAGAATTGCCATAAGCATACTGCCTGATAGATAAACCTGCGTCAGAATGATCAAAACTATATGAGAAAGGTGAAAATTTCACATAGACAGTACAGATATCTAACTATAACCAAGAAAACATAACAGCTAAGAAGAAGAGTATAAGCTTTGTCAAAGTGAAGTATTTGCATTACTTTTGTGGAGTGTTTTTTCTGCACAGATAAATGCCCTTTCCTGGACAAATCTCCTGATAGTGAACTATAGCATTGCAGGACATGCAGGGCAAGTACGATCATCCATCCAGTGTAGCCAAGGGTAATAACAGTCATAAGCATTAGCCAGTCATACGTTTGAAAGTAATGAAGGCCCTCTAGTGATAAGTGTCTGAGATCTACAGCCAATTTCATTGCAGCTTCATAACGTTTGGCAGAAATTAACTCATCAATCTGACTCAGCGATGAGGAAGGGTCGACCAACGGCTTGAATGGCTTGAAAAATAAGGAATTTGACATTTTTATATCTGATTTTGTCAAGGAGACCATAACCAATACATAGATGGCAGATTATAAGCAATGCTTAGAAACAAATGAAAGAAAGCCATTTGAAGTACGAGTTAAAATAACTATTTGTTTCCACCAGTATAAGAATACCGTACTGTAGCGCAGGTGTAAAGCTATCATTAGATTGTGAGCAAAAGGATACGTGATTTACGAAGAAGCTGATTAAGGATTTGTTTGGTATTAGCTAGAACAGCTTCAACTTCTTCTGCCTGGATATACCAAAAAATAATAATAATAAAGCACCATAAGTCTCAACATCCAAACCATGTACTTGAAACTATATATACATATATATATATTCCTCTTCCTATTACAAACCAGTTCCTTAGTGAGTTTCGACCTCTCACTCATGAATACTCAATAAGGAGTTAGTAATTCAAGAAATGCACCACTACCAGAAACCTAATCTTTTTTAAAAGACACAAGCGGAAAGTTTACATAAACATACCTCATTCAACTTCATGTAACCAAGTGGTAGGTTTCCAACTGAGTTCACTGGGCATGGCAAACCCACGAGCGTTGACTGCAGATAGTAACAAAAAAAAATGTGACTAAAGAAGTCGAAAAACAAATTCATATAAGGAAGTTGTTTGATTAAGGAGATAACAAATGAGAGGAGAGTGGAACCATAAGTGGTGCAATGTCAGCTTGGTTGACATCAACTCTCTCAACACGATTAAGGCCCCAATCATAAGGAGTGGGCATATCATGAGCGTGCTTGTCGACAAAGCTAGTAACAGAATCAGAGTGACTGTGTCCAGTAGCTGGTCTGGGATATTTAATCCCAGCACCCCAAGCAACCAAGGGAGTATCAGTATTAGTAGGATGGCCATCTCCATGACTTCCTTTGTCGCTCATCCCATGATCAGCAGTAAAGATATAAGAAGTGCGGTTGTCTCTGTAATAATCCTCCAAGAGATGGTAGACTCTTTCAGCAATCTTATCAACAACTTTGACATTGTTAAGATAGATGGACGAGAAAGGGCGATGGGCATGACCATTGGAATCGCAACCAAGAAGGTGGAGAAAGAAAACAAGTTTGTCCTGGTGGAGAAGCTCTTTCAGCTTAGGATCATGGTGAGACCTATTGAGAAGGCTCTCAAATTGATCAAAAGACCACTCGTCCAAAAAGGAAGCATCTACAGCAAGAAAAGACTACACACATTACATTCCAGTGATAGCAACAATGATATAATAGTGTTTGCAGCATCTCAAGGAAAGGAACCTGTAGCGAAGTCTTCATATTCGTGGGGATAAGAGTTCCAGGTGGAGTGAGGCAAAGCACTGCAGAAAATAGGGATAATATCTGGACTACCATAAGCAAAGGTGTGCCTGCTCTGGTTGAAGACAGAGTCAAACTCAACGGGGTTGGCTTTCCATCCTTTGGTGACGGCACTGGGGTCTTCATAGAAGCCAGCGATGATGGCAACATGGCCAGGTCGAGACTCAGTGGGAGGACGAGCGTGAGAGACACCCCAACGACCCTGATTCTTGATGATATTCCTCAAGAAGGGTGCTCTGTAATTGCCGTCAACGTCAGGCTCGTAGAACTTGTCAGCTCGTAATCCATCCGCTGTTAAGTAAGAAAAACACATTTGACCTGATGAGAGTAAGTAAAAAAAAAGAGAGAGAGAAGAGGTATTGAGTTGAAAAAATAATAATACGTACAGATGAGAAGAATGAGACGCTTGGCGGGCGGCTGAGAGAATTTGGGAGGCACTGGATCCATGCCGTGGACTATCGGAGTTTTGAAGTAAATGTCGAAAATACTGAGCATGTATACGGCGTGAAGTGCGACTCCCAGAAGGACGAGCCATGTTTCTCTCCTCTTTAGCCATCTTCTTCTACTCGCCACGACTGCTGTTGCTCGATTCTGATCTGAACCTCCTCCTCCTCCGGCTCCCAAGATCCCGTCGCTCCTCATCCTGACCTTTGAGAGAAAGAGACTTTTCTTAAATCTCGATCTCTTCTTTCTTTCACTTTTAGTTAAGACTTGTTATGATAACTAAGGAAAGCTTAAGACATCTCTAATTAGGATAACTTAATCTCTCTTTTTTTTAATTAATTTAAAAGAGTTTATAATAGACAACAACTAATCCAGCAGCTAAGTTTCTTCATCTGCTCTCAATTTTATTACAATCTTATATTGATGAATACAACAACAACAACAGCATAAAGATAGTAGTAGTAGACAAAGAAAGAAAGATAAGAAATTACAACAACAACAAAAACCGATAATAGCAACACAATGAAATTAGTCTCTTGAGATCCCATCCACAAACACCACACGCTTGAGAGAGTGAGACAGATAAACATTGCGAAGATCCTTGTTTCTCTCTTTTTTACTTTCAGTTCTTCACTGTGGTGACGTGTTTGAGGAGCATCTCCACAACATCATTGGAAATCCTGGAAGCTTCGTTCCTCAGCTGTTCGATTTTAGCATCAGTCTCTTGCTCCAGCCTCTTCACATTCGCACCCGAGTCTCCACTTGTCTGTTTTTTGTTTTTTTTTTGGTTTTTATTAGATTATCAGAACAAAAAGGGGATAGACTGGCTTTTGTATTGACAGACAAGAAAGTAGTATTGCTGTTTAATTACTTACCTCCTCAAGCTTCCTCTGGAAGTCTTGCTCAGTTTTAGCCTTGTATTCAGCAATCTCTTTCTCAGCCTCTTCCTTTGCTTGCTTCAGCCTTGCCATCTTTGCTGCAACCCCCCCCCCCCCCCCC